GTAGATGTTAAAACAGGATGTTATCAGGACATACGTTTTCAACATCCAATGATGGGTTACCGTACTGGTAACAAAAGTCGTAACCAGGATTACCAATCATTTGAGAAAACAAAATACTGATTGTTGACTGATTGTTGACTGAATAAAATCTATCATTATCTTGACCAATCAAAAATATCATAACACCTGTCACTGTATGGACCAATAGGATTCTATGTTATACCATTTCATGGTCACGTCGATCCCGTCGCCATGCCCAGACTGCCACCGCCACATATAAAATGATGACCCCAACCACTGTGCCAAGAACGGCACCATTACTGACGATATCAAACTTTCCAAACACAGAATCAAAGTCGATCGAGTTTGGCGGGACATAAAATGATGTAGCGAAGTGCTGTCCGGGCGGGTCCTCACAGATACACACAGTCTCCAGGGCTGTCGACTCAGCCGACATCTGTAAAGAAAAACAGGTGCTTACAACTGGGATTCCCCAGATCATGAGTGAACTACATGTTTGTAAGTTGCTCATACCCCACACATGTACATAGAATCTGTTAATTAACCTGAAGAAAGCATGACGTCAGCTCATTATATAAACAAAGCATGACCTAAGTAAGTTATCATTTCAACCACAGCATGACACTCTTTAGCTTGTCCTTCCAAATGTGTCAAACCCTCATCTAATCTTTTTACCAACAGGATGACAATCATCAGCTGATCATTCCAACCACAGCATGACATAAATTTTATCACTTCACCACAGCATGACATAAATTTATCACGCCAGTCACAGCATGACATAAATTTATCACTCCAGTCACAGCACATCATGAATTTTAACAACATGAAGTCAAATCATCTTTCCTTCTAACCACAGAATGTTGCTTGCTTATTATTCTGACCACAACATGACCTCAGTTTTTCATCCCAACAACAGTATGACATTGACGTGTCATTTTCACTATAGAATCATATTGGCCTATCACATATATCCACTAGAATCCTAAATGTTAACCGACTCACCTGACATGATGTTTTGTCCCACTTAGCCTCTGCAGTGTTCCACACCCGACACCCGGCCGTCCACACCACCATGTCGTATGTCAACACACGCGTCGCTGGAATTGTGCTGTTGGATGATGCAGTGGTGTTATCAATGCTGCGACGTTTCCTTGATACACTGTCATCAGGAACTACAAAAATATGAAAAATAAAACCTCACATAAATTGACAGTCAACAAATCAAATAGGTAAAAAAATCCAAATCCAGAGTATTTTACATTGAAAATTAAACCACACAAAAACATCCTAATTTACAGTATACAAGTATATGATACAGAGATACATGTTCTAATGAGTGCATTCCTTAAATTAGAGTTACAATATACGTCCTTGCTTAAACCAATATCTAGCTGTTCAAGCAATTATACATAAAAAGTTAATTGCAACCAAAGTAAGTTGTGTTCATTTGTAGCCTTGTGCATTGAGAAAGCATCCTACCAAATATTTACAGCAATCTTCATGCTTGCGGTAATTAAATTTTTTTACTGGTTCGTATTTTGAAGGTAAAATACGGACATGATCACAAGATGAATCTAATTTTGACCTTGACCTTGTAACACTACAGACCTACGTACCCGAGTCCACAGTGACCGTGAAGTACACTGTTGTCTGCTGCTGAAATAAGCCTCCGGGAACAACAACCACGAAAAAATTGTCATTCAAGTCACTGTCCGGCACTTCATACCGCCAGTCATACGCAGAGCGTGTAGCACCACTTCCGCCTTTCAAATATACAACAAACTTCATACCGTCTGTAACACCCTCCAACCTTAACGCCATGTCGTCTGCTGGAAACTGCCAGAAGAATTTGTAGCTGAAAAATTGGGATGAGGCTTCGTTTGTGTCTGCTGGGAAAGCTAGATAAACAGATTTTGGATTGTTGTCCCCGATGTTTGGAAATCTGACCTTGACCGATACGTTGACCTCTTCCTCCGCATTATCCTTGATTGATACTGACAGTACATTCGAGGTAATATACTGCGCCTCAGGATCCCAAGTGAATGGATTCTTGTCAAATACGGTGATCTACATCAAAATAGAGAATAGGTATTTATGGGCATAGTGTAAGAAACCCCGATTTAAGATTTACATATAAACTATGTAAAATTAATCCTGTTTACCAGGAAAGTTTCGCCCAGCTAAATATTCGCCCTTGCACTAAAAGTCAATGTTCGCCCAGTGTAAATTTTGCCCTTCACACGAAATTTCTATATATTGAATGTTGTGTAATAGCAGTTGTGCTCTTAAAATAAGTTCACCCTCATTGGGGAGGGCGAATAAAAAAGAGAAAGTTAAACTGTTTCATTTTCACCCTGGAATTTTCAATTTTAATAGCGAGTCAAACTGTCTATGTAGATCTCTCTATTACGATCAGTAAGTAAAACCTCAAACAGAATGTTTAATTTCAACTGTTGGAAGACATATGGACTAAACTTCTATGGGCAAAAAAAAATGATGTTTTCCCTTGTATCATTCGGGCCGATTTTACCCGCGACATACCTGAATGTCCTTGCTGTCCACACTCTGGTCCTGGGATTGTGAGAACTCCATGGTGATATTGTTTCTCTCTATAGGATTCGCCATCAATTCCGGTAACGTCATGGCACTCATGCTGGTACTTAACCCAGGTCTGTTGATCAACACCGGAAGCTGTTTCATATGGACCATCCCTTTTAACACCTTTCCCAGTGATGACAACGAATCAATGATATCCGGTACAAATTTTTGGGCCTAGGAAAGGGATAAAAATGAATCTTGCATAATTTTTGCAAATCCATGAAAGTTTAATTGCTAATATTACACGAGGATCTTCAACTCATGATAAACATTTGTACAAGTTTTAGCTACAAATAAATAAGAAACTTGTGATTTTTCTTTAACTGTATACAGTGTATATAACCACATTTTTTAATTAAAATGCAAAGAATAAGAAAACGCTTGATAACAGGAAGAAAATGTTCAGATTAAGGAAGAATTATCATACATAAATTGAACTTTTTAAGCTCAGAATTTTAAATGGTAGATGAATTCTATTTGTCATGGTATTTTATCTATTAACATTAAAGAATTTGACCTAGATTAAAGAATTTGACCTAGATTGATCTCTCATTTTCTAT